ATAACTATGAAGCAACCATTATGAACCTGCTTAGCACTATGTACACTGTCAAAATACTAATGCAATAAAAAACAAAGATGACTTCCAGATATAGAAACCAGAAAGACAGTTAATGTTGACTTATTAGCGAAACTAAGGAATATAAGAAGAGCTTCCTTGACAGGGACAGGGCAAGAATTACTTGTGTGATTTTATACACAGCAAGTTCAAATTACCATGGGCAAATCAAAGTCTACCCTGAGATTTCTTAGAAGTACTTGAAGATTGTTAAACTTGAAAGTAATACCATTAAGTTCTGCATTTTTTGAAAAGTATCACTTTTTTACAGATATCTATACTTCTAAAACAAGAACCCAGAAGATTCTGGTAAAGGAACTTCAACAGACCACTCTTTTGAGACTTCTAGTTTTAAATAGTAGGTTTAATCTTAAGAGTGGGTAAGGAAAGAAGGGATAGGCTGAGAAGTAGAGAGAGTAGAGTACAGACTCCTGAAGATTACCAGTGTTTGTATCATGGACAAGGGAGAGGAGCTAGCAAAAAAGAAGCAGAAGATCAGGAAATGTTACATCACAAAAATTAAGGGAACAGAGAGTTTGAAAGCATAAGAATGGCCAGTCAGGTCAGATGCCTCTATGGGACAAAGATCAGGGCAAGAAGTGTCGCTCAAATTTAGCAATAAGAAGTCTTCAATGGATTAATAAAGGCCAAAGGCAAGTGCAATAGGTTGAGCATCACCATGTAGTAAAGGAAGAAAGTTGGTACAGACTGAAAAGGAAATGTGGTTAACAAAGGTAACAGCAATAAGAGACAAACAAAATGAAGAAATCAAGGGGCTGGATGTCTCAATAAAGCAAAGAAAGAGGATATTGAGAGCATGCGAGTGAGGAAATCATGGTCAGACAGTAGGATACCGGCATTTTCAAAGATGAAGCCATTACAGGCGTCAGAATGATGCCAGGACTGTGGGTTAGATGGAATTAAGATAAATATTCATAGAGATGATGGAATCAAGGAAGAGAGAGGCAGGATGGTACTTCCGAGAACACTGAAATAACTTAAAGTAAATAAAGGCTGGAGTTTGAGCGGGGAGGGAGATAGAAGGCAGTGTCAAAAGTCCTGGGTGAATGTGGACAGTTAAGAGTGTTGGTAAATAGAAGAGTAGAAGGCGACCCAGCTAGACCTTGTCAACTTCTAAAGAGGAAAGGATTGTACTGAGTCTTTCCTTAAATGAAGTGCTGTAACGTAATCTAGTGGGCCCTAAGTAGTTCCATGTGACTGTAAACAGATCTGAGCCACAGGAATTCTTATTACTGTAAAGGGATCGCCAGACTTACATCACTCCCATTGACCTTCACAAAGAACCCCAGAACTGATCGATTGAAAAATCGTTCTCTCTTTCGTTACAAAAGAGCTCATTTGAAAGTGCTGTAAAAACGGCACAGAACCAGCAACAAAGAGAGCTGGAATCTGATGCTGCCCCTACCCCTGACTGTGTGACCTTGGTAGTATCACTTCCCATCCCGGACGTCATCTTCCTCCTCTGTATTTATGTATTCGTCGATTGATGCATGTAATTCCCAGTATCTGTTGAAGCCTAGTGGGTGGTAGGCACAACCCTAGATGTTGGGGACATAGCAGCAAGCAAGGCACACCCGAAACCAAGAGGCCCTGCCATGTGAGGGTTCTCATTTCCTCCAGCAAGTGTGTGTGTTCTAAGTGAAAGCACCACAATTTCATTTGTAGTGGTCTAAGACCTGTGGATCTTTCAGGATTTAGTCAGAAACAGATATGGAATGAGATGGCAGCTCCAACTTGAGATCCCTGGACACTGAGGGAGTCCATAAAATGGCTAATAATAAACTTGCAGAACACTTTCCATCACTTTAAGAGAGCCAAATGGAAATTATGCTCAACACATTCACACCACTTTAGCCAAACTTAAGTGTTTCTGCCTGATGGTCACACATTCTAATGCACACGTGTGTGTCTCTGCCTTAAAAAGTATTATTATTGTGCAATAAATATAATTTAATGCCACAAAGTTTCCAAGCAAATCAAAACCAAAGGGAAATTAAAAAAAAAAAAATTTTTTTTTTTAATGCTCCTGAGTAGAGAAAACCTTGTGAGCCCTCGGCAGAGTGGAAAACTCTGACATTCGAGCTTGAAGGCATGTTTGTTCAAATCCCACCTCTCCTGCTTCATATGTGAAGCCTTGGCTATATTTCCCTGAGGCTCATCTGTAAAGCTAAACCAGAAGCCTACCTTTTATGCAGTTGAGAGGCTTTAGTGAGAAATTTTCTAGTTGCATGGTGTTTAACATGACATAATTAAAATAATAGCAACAGAACATATGTGTGGTGGGAAGAGCCTGAGAAGTGGAGTCGGACACACCAAGTTCAAATTCTAGTTTCTCACCAACCGGAGATGGGCGAGGCCAGACAAGTGATGTAATCTCAGTGCTTTTCGGTTTCCTCAACTGTAAAATGGATTATTTTGAGGATTAAATGAAGCTGTATATATATATAAGCTTGACACATTATAGAAGTTTGATAAACATTTATCCTTTCTTTTCTTTGAAAGCCATTACATACTAAATAAAAATATTATTCTTTTCACATCTCTAGTCTAGCATGCTTCATTTCTCCTAGATAAACACTGAAGTATAAACGTCACTTAACGACATGTCACAGGGGTATGTGGTGGTGCAATTGGTTAAGTGCCCAACTCTTGGTTTCGGCTCAAGTCCTGGTCTCATAGTCTGTGAGACCGAGCCCCACGTCAGGGGCTGATGCTATGAAGCTTCCTTGGGATTCTCTCTCTCCCCCCCCCTCTCTATCCCTTCCCTGCTCTCTTTCACTACCTCTCAGAATAAATAAATATTAAAAAAAAATAAAATAGAGGGGCGCCTGGGTGGCTCAGTCAGTTGGGCGTCCGACTTCGTCAGCTCAGGTCATGATCTCACCATCTCATCCATGGGTTCGAGCCCCATGATGGGCTCTGTGCTACAGCTCAGAGCCTGGAGCCTGCTTCAGATTCTGTGTCTCCCTCTCTCTCTCTGCTCCACCCTGTCTCACGCTCTGTCTCTCTCTGTCTCTAAAAAATGAATAAACGTTAAAAAAAATTTTTTTAATAAAATAGAATAAAAATATGAAAATATGTCAGATACATAGATGTCAAGGGCAGAGAAGACTTAAATACAAAAAATGTAATGTATATCGTATTTTATATATTCCTAATATATAATATATAATTAATGTGTTGTTGTTATATTTTAATTCATTTGCTACGTTACATTTAGCCCGAACCACGGGAATAAAATAAATAGAACTTCTACAGAGCAATTTAGCATTCAACCAGCCAGGTAAGAAATTTCCCTTGTCCCCTCCTCCCTGCCTCTGGGGGGGTCAGTCAGTCTCCAGGGACAGAGGTGGTTTTCAATCTCCGTTCACACTGAATTATCAAGTCAAGTAACACAAAGTCTAACCCATTAGCATTAGGTCAAATTAGCGTTAAACATCATCTTATCTTGCCTTCTCCCAAGTTCCTTTTTCGGGAGGTATCCTGACAGGGTCCAGAGCCGATTCCTACTGTATCTGGCCCCCTTGTCGTTAGCTAAGACTTACAAGAAGCATCCTTGGGCATAGATTTAATCATTGCTATAGTGACAATGTTGCTGCACACGTTCGAATCACCGCATTACTTGGCAATTCTGCACCATCTGCAGGTTAACAGCAAGCTCAGGAACCAATGAAATTAGCCCCCTTAGACACCTAAAACTCTCCACACAACAAGGAGAGGGAGGCAAGAAAGCCCGTGAGGGGTAAATAACTTCCACTCTAAGTAGGACCACTAGAAGAAACGTAAGACTGTGCTAGAAAAACCAGCTGTCTGTTAACCCTCCACCCCACCCTCTGTTTTATCAGTTTGTGTATGTGCTCATGTTTGAAAACTGCCTATTTGTAATTAATGAGTATAGATGAAGGCCCCTTAAGTCCTGCATCAGCAAATATTTGTCCAAAAACTTAATGACATAGTGTTTCTCAAGCTGGTCATTCAAACTCTCCACCCTGGCCACACATTTGAATGACCCAGCAAGCTTTAAAAACAACACCATTGCAGGGTCCCATCCCAGATCAATGAAATTAGAATCAGGTAGGGGGTGGGCAGGCATCAGTGGCTTTTCACAGGTCCCACCCGGGGACCATTCTATTCTATCGTACAACTAGTGTTTTAAGAATGGTTGTGATATCCACATTCCCTGGCACTTCAAAAACATCTTACCCTTTGCACAAGTCCCGGAGAAAGTGAAAATACGAAGGGGAGGGCATCCTTTATGATGGATTGGAGTAAATTGTTCCATTTCAGAATCTGTCTTGCTGACGGGTGTGTTTCTGAGATAAGGAGAATGTGTCCTCTTGTGGGACAGTGTAAAGCCCTAGGGAGTTTACCTAGATTCTTCACAATGATCCCCCAAGCATATACAGAAAGCCTGCTTTATAACTGCATTTCACCCATTATAACTGCATTTCCACCCATGTGGAAATAACCCCCACAGCTCGTTCTCAAATTGTGTCGTATATGTCCGTGCCTCCTTTTCTAGTCAGGGAAGTTCTTTTACTGATTTTGAGTTTATGCCTCTATGAGAATCATCCACAGACCTTTTTCCCCCAAATTACACACTCTGATCCCTTCCTCCCAGAGTCTCCCGAGACGGGAAACACTGGAGTTTTGTTTTTGTTTTCAACACTCCAGTTCACGTGAGCCAATTTAGCACTCACCGTCTCGTTGGCCGAATATGCTCATCAATATGAGAGGACAGTAGGCCACGAATTACAAAATGACTCTCCTTTGATTGGACTTTGGCTCCCAGGAAGTCCTGTTTGACAAAAATCCTGACAGAAAACAGGCAATAATTGTCCCACAGTTCTCTGGCCCTTTGCAAATAAACGCCTTACAGGACCTGTCTGGCCATTCCTCACAGAGCTGCCTCAAGAGAGCAGATGTCTGCCGGCCAGAGGTTTGCCTTTGCAATATGCATTTTACAAATAGGTGTCCTGAGTGCTGGGCCCACTCCTAGGTGAGTCCCTTTTTCTGTTTGTCTCTGGAATTTCACTGCTTTGATATTTATCTCAAGGCCTACTTCTTAGCAGGAAAGCAGATAAAATTTCAACCCACATTGAGGTAGACAGCCTGAAAGTTTAAACTTTGAAAAGGGGTGAGAAAAGTGCAGGGGTGTGTCTTGGAGAGTTTTGTAAGGAAACCTGCTGCTGTTTCCAGAAAGTTCTTTCAAACAAGCCATTCACATGTTAAGACCGAGATAATCTTTAAATACTTGGAATTATGAAGCAAAGCTGGTTTTCACCAGAGTATGTTTGATAAACCTGAGCTTATCAGTATCTAACATATGAGAAGTTTAAAATTAAAAAAAAAATTAATCTTTCCCTCATTCTGCCTCAATGTCTTGCACTCTTAACTTTTGGATATATCACCTTTTTGATCCCATGTCAGGCAAAGGTTAAACATTTGGCTTTTCCTCCTTGACATTCAAAGTTGTGTCCAGAGGCACACATTTTGACCTTAGGCCTAGGGTTAATTTCCTCCTTTTTTTTTTTTTTTAAATATGAAATTTATTGTCAAGTTAGTTTCCATACAACACCCAGTGCTCATCCCAAAAGGTGCCCTCCTCAATACCCATCACCCACCCTCCCCTCCCTCCCACCCCCATCAACCCTCAATTTCCTCCTTTCGAGAAAGAATCACCATAGCACAGACCTGTCAGCCCTGCTTCTGGCAAAGACTTACTTTCTCTCCTTTTGTTCTGATCCCATTTGGGAACTTGTAGCTCATTCCAGGCCAAGCCAGGATGTGCTTACCAAACAACTATGCCGTATCCAAAATTGCTGGAGAACATGTAGATCTGTGCCATCCGATACGGCATGATCTGACTTGGGGACAGTATTGAAGTATTTCTGGCTTTGCAGTATAGTCAGGGGATACTATCTGCCCAAACACTGTCTCCTCTGCTCAGACACTAACTGCAACGTGCTTCCATTTCCACTTTGGTCGTTTGACTCCTGGTTTAACCAAATTCTATTCTGGGATCTGATGTCCATCTCGAGCACAGCTTTGCCTCCCTGTCGGCTCCACTGGGGACCGCCATGCCTCCTGGGCCCCCCTCGGCCTGTGGTTTGCTCACAGGGCTACAGCTTCCAGCAGAAGGGGACACAGCGGTGCTGCACAGACCAGCACGGGTCTGGGTGAAGCGCTTCACCAGGCTTCCCTTTGCACCCTCACTTCCTCTTCAGCGTTAGCTAAAAAGCATTTTCCCATTCGGAAGATATTTTCGCTTACTGGGCATTGGGTGCAAAGGGGATTTGGGAAGGCGGTCACTACAAGTTGCTTTAGCCTTCCACCCTGACACTTTCTTAAGTTAAAAAAATAATTCAAACAACCCACATTCCTGGATTGAGACTCCTGCTGATCAAAAATGAGAGGCTGTGAGGAAGGCTACATCCGCTTTGAAGTTTGTGCCCTTGGGTCCTGGCCTCACTCAGCTGTCTCAGGGGGGACCAGAAAGCCCCCCGCCCCCGGCGGGCCCCCCAGCTCCCAGCAGCTGCACCGCTGAGCTGGATTTGGCTTCAAGCACTCTCACCGCCAGGCTCTCAAGAGTTTGTTAGGGTTGCCCGGGCTGGAACACTCCGTGCTCTGCCCTTTGACAGAGGGTTGAGGTCAAAACACAGTGTTCGGATCAGTCGTGAAGTGAGACACATAGTTCAGCCAGAGGACTGGAGTTTGCAAATGACTTTTTTAAAAAATTTATTTAA